CAACTTCCAGAATTCCCCAGCCAGCATTTGCTGGCTGGGGAATTCTGGGAGTTGAAGTCCAGACATCTTCAAGTTGCTAAGGTTGAGAAACACTGCTCTAGAGAGCTCCTTCATTCTTTGGGCTATAATTTGCTCTCCTCTTCTGTAACTAATGCTTGCTATAGCCCTTTGATGGGAAATGGTAACTCAAACCATCCTTATGATTTTTTAAAGCCTGTTTTCCTTCCCCTCTAGGGATTTGTTTGGTGTTCCACATTAGTGGCTTTGATACCTCAGCCCTCAACGTGGGACCAAAGGCCTCCAATTACGGGATCTTCTTGCTAAGCGCAAAGTGGTGGTGTGATGATTTCAAGACACTATATGCACCCAACTATTGCAACTTGAGTTGTGAAGGTAAGAAATCATGACCTTCCATTGGTAATAACATTTGGCAAAAAATCAAAAAATGAATGCCATCATTCCTAAAATTACCTGTTATATTATAAAGGAGATGAAACACCTTGTTAACTATCCTTCCCAAATTCTTCCATTTCATCTATGAACTGGTCAGCTATTTCTTAAAGTCAGCACCATAACTCGCGGTAGCAAATTCTATGATGCTACATGAAAAATATTTCCTTTGTCTGTCCTGATTTTTCCAGGATTCAATTTCATAGGACGGCATCTGGACCTTGTGTTTTGGGAAGAGAAAAGTAGCTCCCCCATTTCCTACTTTATTCATATCTTGCGTAACTTTATACATCTCAATCATGTCCTTTCTCATTCACCTCATTTTTAGATGAAAGAGGCCCAAATCTCACACAACCATTTCTAATAAGTAAGTTGTGCCAGTCCCTTGGTCACCTCAATTTCCCTCTTCTGAAACTTCTTTAGTTCCACTGTATCCTCTTCAAAGTTGACAATGACCACACAAAATCTATATAAGATGCCCCTTTGATTAATATAAGAGTATTGAGTATATTGGTATCTCTTTTCCTTCAATTTCTTTAGTTTTCCTGTCTTCTTTCAAAGGCTACCTCCTCCAAAATATTCACTCTGAAGCACTCTTCTTGTTTTTAACTCTTATCTTCCTCTCAAAACTAACAATATCCAGAGCTGACAGAGTCAAATGCATTGTGTTTCATGGTGCTCTAGCAGTCAACAAGGACTGGATAGGCTTTCAAAAGGAGAATATAGGCTTTCAAAAGGAGAATCAAGTCTGAAAACATTAGGATACTCTAGTATGAGGATTATCATACTTTGGCAACAGTCCAAGATTTTGAGTTGGGTTTACACATTAATGTTTACACGTTGATGGGTTTACACAATGAGTTTATACATTGATCTAACTCAGGTTTGTTATAACCATATTTGCTCAGTAAGTCATTGGCTAGGTTCATACTACAATAGGTTAGAAACTTTGATTGCCAAACCACAATGGCTGGATGTGGAGTCATTCAACAGCCTACATTAAGCAACTAGATTAACTACATATTGACATTGACAAAGTATGAACATTTACAAGAATCAACTTGCTTTACTTTTCTCTGCTTAGTACCTCCTCGGACGTTAATGATAATTACGCTCAAGTAAACTTCAATTCTCCCATCCTTTTCTTCTTCAGCCCTACGGGATGATAACATTACTGATGATATCCAATGTGCCAAGAGAGTTGTCCAAAGAAGCAATGGCTTTGGAGCATGGTAAATGAATTGTTATATTCTTATTTACTCTGTTATCAATCCCATATACCGGGAAGAAAAGTAAGGTACCTCTGGTAGAAAACTGCCATGAATCTTTATTCACTGGAAAGGTATATATGTTGCCTGGATAGTTCCATAAAAGGTTAACGTTTGGGGTGATTATTTGCGGTGGTTGCCATTGGTCTTATTCTCCCCAAAAAGGCAGGAAATCAAAAATGGAACTAACTTCTAAAACCAGGAATTGTGCTTTCCTCTCCTCTAAATGTTGCATTCTTGAATGTTTGTCTACGCATAAAGTAAAATAAAGCAAGAAGGCCAAATTCAGTTCAAGAAAACTCACTAGAGGAGAAGGAAAGTACTGCCATCAGATTGATAGCTAGAACATTATTAGTTTTGATTAGATGGTTAGAACTTCATTGTAGTTTTTCTAGCCTGGTATTCTCCAGAAACGTTTGGGATGCAACTCCCAGAACTCTGGAAGTCGTCCAACATATTTGGATCTGAGACTAGTGTCATTTGTTCACCTGCCCAGTAGGCAAAATGTCATCAGTGAATAAAACTTAAGGGAAAGAAGTCCTGTCCTCTGTGTGAAGGCCTTTTTCTTGGTAGCATCCATTTCCCTGTGCAGAATCCAGGAAATCTTTACTTTTTTTTTTCTCTTGTGATGAACAAAGCAATCTATGCAGGACAACAGAGGACCATTACTTTGTCCAGAATCACACACTCTTCTCAGTGGAGCAAGAAAGGACACTTTTGGCTGTTAACATAAACATCTCAAGGGGAATTTTTTTTAAAAAAAAAAGTCTATTAATATGCTGATTTTAGGACTTACACTGCAATTATCAGGTGCTTCTCACCTCAGAACAGGAAGTTGTTCTATCAGTTTTCAGCAGTTGTGACCATGGGGACTGTAAAGACCCCCAAAAGGGGATTGAGAGGTTGTTTGAGACCCTGGAGCTATAAGCTGGCCACCCCTTCTGCATATCCTATTCAGTGATGATGGAACAGGAACATTTGTTAAGGGAATGATGTGGATTATGGAGGGATGAAACATGATGCCTTGATTACTAGTACAATTTGGCAGTTATTTGGGGGCTCAAGCTTCCATAAGGCAACATTCATATTTTTGTACATGTCTAGTCAACTGAATGGCAACAATATTCTGACCTAGGGGATTTCATTATAGGACTGCCTGGAGGAAACACTGTAAAGGAGAAGATCTGAAGAAATATATTGTAGGCTGTGACCTGGAAGAAGTCACCTCTTCACCGCCAGTCCCAGAAAAAATATTTACTAGTGACCAGAGGCCAAAGTCTATACATCCTGGAGTAGATCTTCTGACTACTCCTTTCCGAGACATGTACCCCAAAGAACCTACTCTCCCACTTAAAAAGGAGCCTAAGTCTGAGCTTCCAGCCATGGGTTCTTCAAAACCTACAACTTCTATAAGGGAGTTCCCAAATACCACCTTCCTATCTGAGAATCTTCTAAAATCTAACATTTCGGTCAAAGAGCCTCCAAGATTCACCCTCTCGACACATAGTCCCTTAAAACACTCTGTTGCATTAGGGGAAGCCCTAAATTCCATCCCACCCAAGATTCCTCCAAAACCTACGGCCTCCATCAATGAGACTTCAAACTCCACCCTCCAAGCAGTTGATCCCAGAAAATATCCAATCCCATCGCATAATAATACAGAACCCAGCATTTTTTAACCACGCATACAAGAACAAATAGTGAGATTAATAGTAAAACTGGATTTTTTTAAAAAAAAATATCCTATTGTATCAAAGCTGCCATGAATGTGTAATGAAATTGCGCAATCTTTTGCTAGTGTGGAGCCATAATACTATTATTTGGGGATAGTGGTGTCATTTATTTATTATACTCTTCATTTATAAGTGATGCTCTATACATGAACATAATGTTCTCCATAGAATTAAATAAACTGGTATGGTTAAAAAACGTAATGGCTGTGTATAATAGGAAACATATGACATTGCTTTAAATTTAAAAAAAAGCAAAATTCTGAATATTGTTGAATCATCAGTGATCTAATATGACTATTAAATTTTCAATTCTCCCAACATTGACATTTCTTGGTGATGTGCACATATAAACAAATAATTATACCAATTAAAATTATTTCTTGTTTATGTCATACATACGAAATAATTTTAATAGGTATAATTATGTTGTGGCTAAAATTCATTCAAAAACAGAAGAGATGTGTTCTATTAATGGCATCTGGCCACCTTAAAAAATAGGAAGTGTTAATGCTGTAAAACAAATGAAATTCGTTCTGGAAACAGTTAACCTTTGATAGCAGGGCAGTTAAGGCCAATTTTAGAGGACTTGAAAATCTCTTTGTTTGTCTACTTGGAGCTGACTCACTTGATTTGTTACTGGTTTGTCTTTGGTTTGAAGGCTACTTCAGCTGACTGCAGTTCTGCAGTTCGGCTGTTCAAATCTCACCAGCTCAAGGTTGACTCAGCCTTCCATCCTTCCGAGGTGGGTNACATGTCGAGAGGGGAGGGAACTCATCATCCCCAGGCCTGCCGACAAAGCCAGGTTTTGACGGCTTTTCGGAAGGCCTGGAGAGAGGTGAGGGTCCGAATCCCTGCGGGGAGTTCATTCCAGAGGGCAGGTAACTGTAATTCACATCCAGGTTTGCTCAACCACTCCACTTTGCACCACAGGTATTATTTAGCTAGGGGTGGGTAGAAAACAATGAAGAATAAATGTGTACCTCCTGGAGCTGCGGGGGGGGGGGTAGCAGCCATCCCTGTCTGTCACCAAAGGAACCTCAGGCGGTTAAAAGGGAATAAGCGTGGCCTTAGCTCAGCAGAAATGACTGTATTCTATTATTAGCCCACCTCGGATAATAAAGTGCTATTGCCATCGACACTCTGGCAGGCTGGGGGGCAACTTCCAACAAAACGCAGCAACTGGAGAAAAGCAGCGAGGGGCAAGGAAACTCGTCCGGGGAGAGCCACGTGCTGCTTTCGCCTTAGATTCCTCTCCTCCGCGCGCACACTTTTCCTCCTGGGCCCTTTCCCGGCTACCTTGCCAGCAGCTTCTTTTTCCATGCCATTTCCCGGCAAAAGACTTTATTTTCCCTTCGCCTTCCAGCCCGCCAAGAAGCGCCAGATCTGAGTCTATCCACCATTTGCAGCTTGGGCCCGGGCATTATTTTAAATAATTTTAAAAAAACAACTGCAGTAATTCACTTGATTGTGGCAACAAAGTCATATAATGAGGCAAAACTCAGCTAAATACTGCTTGCCTAGAAATTTTGGGTTTAATTGTAATCATATGTTGAGGATTACGGTACCTGCATTCTCAGGTTCATTCGGCCCTGGTCTGGGACTTGAGACAATAGTTCATCAGTATTGCTATAGTAATAAATAACAACAAGACTAATCCAGCCACCTGAAAGAGGTAAAAAGAAAGGATTTATTAACAATATCACTCTGGTAATATATTCCAGAATTTGAAAGCAAAAGCAACCCTGTCTTTGATATCCCAGGTGCCCAATATTCACAGTTAATTTAATTTAATTATTTCAGTTTATTTATGAATTGAGGTCACCAAGAAAGCTACGGTTTTCCTAAAAATGTGTGCAACAATAAATGTTATAGAGATCATTTATTTCAACAGGCTGTTTTTAGTATACATTTGGGAAGCAGTTTTTCATACCAGACTTTCAAAACAAAAAACAAATCATCACAAAGAATCTAACGAAAATCAGACTATTTCACAAGTTGTTTGCAGAAATTGATCTGCTTGTATCATAATTATTGAAGTTCCATAAGAACTAAATTGTAACATATAATTCAGTGGACTACAAACTACTTTGTGACAAATACATCATGGACTAATCTGAAGAAGTCTGTTAGTTGTGTGAAACAGCTAAAAGTAAAAAAAAAAAGTTGAATAGAGTTCCAATTCCTTTATTAACTTAAGTTAATGTGCTTCTCCTCCACACCTCCATATTATAAACATTATAAATTAATGTTTCCTACTTTCCAATTACAGCAGAATGGGAAAGCAACTAGAAGAGAAAGGATTAAATTTTTCTCTTTCTCTCTCAAATCTAAAATACCCCCCAAACCCAGCTTCTTTTCCCGATATCAAGCATCTATTAGGAGTTCAATATGAGCCCCACAGTGTAGCTTAGCCTTTCTTTACTAATGAGCAAACAACCCAAACAAACATTATATGTTCAAATCAAATTTCAAATTTACTTTTACCAGGATTTTATGGCAAGTGTCAGATGAAATATAAAACAAAACAACAGCTTACCTTAGATATTGTTGACATTTCAACATTGGTTGGCTTATTTGTTGCATTATGATTTGTACTCATTGCACACTGAAGATACCTTCCGTCCAAAAGCACAATCACAAACCACATCCAGGAAGGGAAGGAAGTCTGCCATAGTATACAGTACCACTTGTCATTATTAACATCGAATGAGTTTAAAACATACCCTTGAATAATAAAATTCAGGAAGAAGAAAATGCCAGCTGGGACTACAAGAAAAACCACAAAATAAATTAGGCCAAATGGCTGTGGTGCGCAGGTAAATTCAACTTCCATAATTTCTTCAGTCACTGCCAGGATAATTGTGGCTAAGAAATTCAGTAATAATCCGTTCTGTAAAAGGCTCCCAACATACTTTTGAAACTTCATTTTGAATTATTTGCTCCAGCTGCTTGAAGGTTTCTGAGAAGTTCTCACAAGAATATCAAGCACAATAGAAAATGAAAGAGAAACATAGCCTTTGCTTCATACATTATGTCATGGGGGAGAAACCTTTATAGAACTCCCAGATTGAACAGATTATCACAAAGTGCTTGACTCTTTCAGCAGCCACTTTCTGATGCTCAGGTTCTTGCAGTCCTTCTCCATCAAAAAGTTACATCTCTTATGTTCTGCTTTTCCTTCAGGAGTTCAGGGCAGGACACATAGTGCTCCCTCTTTCCAATTTTTCTTGCAGTGAAAGAGGACAAGTGTAATTCACTCCTTCTAACCACCAGGGATGTGGTGGCTCAGTGGCTAAGATGCTAAGCCTATTGATCAGAAAGGTTGGCAGTTCAGCGGTTCAAATCCCTAGTGCTCCATAACGGAGTGAGCTCCCATTATTTCTCCCAGCTTCTGCCAACCTACCAGTTTGAAAGCATGTAAAAATGCAATTAGAAAAATAGGGACCACCTTTGGTGGAAAGGTAACAGCACTCTGTGTGCCTTCGGCATTTAATAATGCTGGCCACATGACCATGGAGACATCTTCGGACACTGCTGGCTGTTTGGCTTTGAAATGGAGATGAGCACCACCCCCTAGAGTCAGGAACGACTAGCACAGATGTGCGAGGGGAACCTTTACTTTTACCTATCCACCAGGGACAATAGGTCACCGAAACTAACCTTCCATGTAACTTGTATGGAGGTAGTAAAGGAAATTACAAAGGTAGAACAATTATGGGACATGATTCTAAGTTCTGATTGGCATAACATATATTAAAACACATTCCTTACTATCAATTCTCTANGGGCAATATGCTGACTCTGTAAACCGCTTAGAGAGGGCTGAAAGCCCTATGAAGCGGTATATAAGTCTAACTGCTATTGCTATTGCTATAAAAAAATAATTGGCTGAGTACACACTCCGTAAAGGCAGTTTTCCTCATGGGAAATTTTCAGAAAATACTTTCTTCACGTTCTTTTCTGAACAGTCATACGAGTGTTCTGATTGCAAAGCAATGGGACACTTCCAGAAATCCAGATGAAGCTTCAGCTGTCTTTAACAGAAGTATTTCCCTTTAGAAGGAGAAGAAATCACGGTGGGAGATTATGCAGTTTCCATGCAAAGGGACTTTCTCTGTATAGAGAGCTATGACAGCAGGGAATAGAAAGAAGGTAGGTTGCAATAGTACCAGTAATCTTAAAGTAACTTTGCCCACACTAAAATTCTGAAAAAAAAAATTCCAGGTTTTCATCATGGTAAAATGTTGCCACAGTTTAGTGATTTTGCTAAAGGCCATTTGCAATCCGGGAGAAAAAGTATGGCACCCATCAGCACAGGGAAGGATAGAAACAAAATCATTGTATAAATGAGGTTTGTCTGTGAAACTGACATTGGAAACAACACGTTCCATGGAATTAGTGGAAAAACTAAAAGCGTGCAAGGCTGCCCTCCATTTTAGAATGGTGAGTAGTGGAGAAAGTCATCCCTTGAGATGCAAATAAGTATTTTCTGGTAGCATCATAATCTAGTGGAGCAGGTGAAGCTCTAGGTTACCAGCTGTCAGTTTCCTCCGTGACCACATCACATTCCAGAGTTGCTTTGTGAGGGCAATGGATGGTTGGTCTTTGATCTTAAATAAATGACTAGTTTTTTTCATCATTTAACATGTTTCTGTAGTTTCCTTCTCTAGCTCTGTTCCACCTTTCTTCAAACAAGAATGTAGAACCAACCAAAGTATCTAGATGAGGTTTAAATCATACAGAAAAAAGTGGTTCCTTCCAGCAGCTTGGAAGCAATGGATCCGTAAATGCAGCTTAAAACTCCCTTAGCACCCCAACTTTTTCCTTTGCTATCTGTACTATACTTCTGTCCTATATTCAGACAGGAATCAATGCTTAAATTATCCTCCCATGCAATTTTCACAATCCTTCGTCCCATACCTGTGCAAATTTTTTGCATTAAATAAATGAAAATAAGTCTCACTTAACCTTTTGAATTATTTCAATTCATTTTAAGATCTGTTCCTGAATTTTCCATGGTATTAGTATCAGAGGAACTTGTCTATAATTTTCTGGATCCTCTAGATGGCAGTATTTGAACATCTCCAATCTTACACTGGATGTCTCCAATAATTACAACAGTTACACTTCTGTTCAAACAGATTTTCCAAATAGGTTGGATACTTTGCATTTTCTGTGAGAATAAAAGGCCAATACTATTTAGTATCACCAATATTAAACAAAAATGTGAATTAACCTAAGAGTGTTAGATATTTCTGGTCATATCCTGATCTTTCACTATTCAAATTACTTCTGCAGGATTGGATTCCCTTTTAAGAGAAAAATGGGAGGAATCTGATTGGCTGTCATTATTTGTTAATATTTTACTGTACTTAGTGAGGAAGGAGCCAGAGTTAGTAAACTTTCTAAGTATCAAGAATGAAAATTAAAAATGATAGCTATCTCACAGGACTTCCAAATCTGAAAAACCTCAGCACTCCCACCTGAAATTCCATAAACAAACATCAATTTAACAACATTTTTTGTTACAAGGGATAGTGGATGCTGACTAGGAATAGTATGGGTACCATAATATCTGGTTCTGACTTACACCATCATTTCATCCTCTTCAACTTCGTACTCATACACAATTATTTTTGCCTCAGGATCAGCTCACGCAAAGATATCCACTCATATAAACATTCATGTTCGAATGAATCTATGCAGCTGCTTGTTTAAAACAATTCTGCCTTCTCAACAGTTGTGCATCAACATGGCATCTAAGTTTGTGAAACCTGAAACCTACGTATTTTTAACCTGTAAAACTTGGAAATGCAGCATATCATAATGAGGTTAAGAATGTTAAGGGAGGGGTTACTAGGAAACTTCTAGAACCCAGAGGTTGCCATGGAAGATGGGTGTTATCAGAACAAGACATCAGAGGACAAAAGGCTTTGTGAAAAGACTTTTCTGTTTCTGGGAAAGGCATAGACTGGATGTCATCGAAGATCTGAGATCTGAGAACAAAACCAGCATTGAACCTCAGGTCAGGTACAGTTGAGAGAAAAGTCCTGAGAAAACCCACAAAGTTTTCTAGAAGAAAAAATGAAACCATGTAATACATATTCTTGTATTAGATTTGGGGAGAAAAGAATCAAACCTGGAATGGCACAAAAATAGCATTGGTTGTACTGTTGGATGGATGTGTATTCATCCCTTATTTGACTTCCCAGTTGCTTTCAATACCATCAATCATGGAATCCTTCCAGATTAAGATTGGGTTGAACAGTACAATGTTGTGCTGGTTCATCCCCTTTCTCCGAGGAATCCCATCCTCAGCCCCTACTATGTGGAGTGCCACAGGAACTACGTGTATTGGACCTTCCTGTTGTGGTATTGCATTGCATTGCATTGTGGAATCTCTTTTCCTTCCTCCTGCCACTTGAGATGAGGCTGGCTCCATTACTGCTGACCTTCCAAAGGTCCCTCAAGACCACCTGATTGTGCCCCATCAGGCCTGAGGACCCCAAGGGCCTGAGGTGGCTCCATTATTATTAACATCGTTTTGCCCACTACTTGTTTCATCTTGGCTTTTATAATTTTTAATGTTTTTAATCAAAATAATTGTTTTGAAGCATTTATTAACTGTTCTAGTGATCATTATATGCTCCCCAGAGTCACTTGTTTTGGGAAGTGGGTAACTATATAAATTTGACTAATTCGCAAGACAAGAAGTTCCGTATATGAAAAAACCGAGGACTGTATTCAGTCATGAAAACATGATCTTGTGAGACCATATAGCCGTGATGGCAAACCCAGAGCATGCATGCCACAGGTGGCATGCGGAGCCCTCTCCGCTGGCACGCGAGCTGTCACCCAGCTCAGTCCAACCGCTCATGAATGCGCACTTCCCGCTGGCAAGACACCTCCCCCCCATGCCCCGTCTTTGGTCCCAGGAGGCTTCAGGGCAATGTGGGGGGGGTGCATGCACAGGGGGAGGAGTGTGGAGGGTCATGCACGCATGCACAGGGGGACAGGGGACATTGCACTATGGGTATGGGCACACGTGCATGTGCTGTCACATGTATGTGCACGGTTTTGGCAAGCGTGGACAAAAAGGTTAGCCATCACTGCCCTATAGTTTGATTTAGCAGAGGTGCCACCACTTTATGTAAGCTAAAAAATCTCCCACTACAATTCTGAGCCCATGGGCATTCAGCGGGGAATTTGTGAGTTGATGGTCAGTGAGTCACCCTTGCATACATAATGAACAGTCCTAAAATAATAAAGGTGTCAAGACTTAGAAGAAATTTACACAAGTCTTAGCTACTCTTTTCCCCCCCAAGTTCTCACAAACCAGTCTGAGGATTCTCACCTTGAACAGAAACAAGAACAGCCAAAGACCATTTGCTCTTTCAAATTTTTAATATGTTAAAAAAAATAGAAGCCAGTTCTGATTTGTTATTTCTTTGAGGATAGTTTCATTCTTTTCTTCGGAAAGAAAAATATCGCACATCATGAAAGTCAGACAGACTGTAAAAGGCATAGGGGAGGGCAGATAGAGGTTGCTGCTACCACTGCCACCAACTACACTGAAGGAAGACATGAAACAAAACCACAAATTAGCAAGTGACATACAGCTATGGCTTCTGTAGAACTTCCCTGAACAGAACATGCTGGGATCTCTCAGCATATAGAATGGCAGCTCACCAACTTCTTCTCAGGCACCATTTGCGGGGCCTTTCCGGCTCCCCAGAGCAAAATCTCGCAGATCCTCAAACAGAATTCCCCATCCAAACCCCACAGCACAAAGCAAAGGAAACAGTTCAAGTTCTAAACAAATCTGGGAAAATGTGTAGACCATAAGGATTTGTTTGAAGAAGGAAATTATATTATAAAATCCCATTCTTCCTGGGTCTGGTGAAGATCATACTGTAGATGTAAAATTCTCCAGGAGAGTGGAGAATCCCAAATGGATGCATTGCCCATCTCCACATGCCCGTTGTATCAACCTATAATACTATAATACTACATGGCCAAACACATAAAAAGTTTTAAAAGTGCACAGAACTGGTGGTCAGCCCAAGTTGCCGTGATACACACTGTCCACCCGGTACTTCTCTAGCAGGAAATGAGTAAATGACTAAAGCAAGACTGGAGTTTAGTCATCAAAAGAAACCTCTCTGAACAGAAGCAGAAGCAAGTTGCCAGGGAAAAAAATCAGAAAGAAGACAAGAAGGGGGAATATATCTTTTTGTGCCAAGCTATTCAACATGTGGGGGGCGGGAATAAAGCTATTTATGGCAAGGAATTATCCATTTAGAAATCCAAGCCATGTCCAGTGTCAAAATTAAACTTCAATTAACTGCCCATTGTCAGGCCAGTAGGGCTGTGAATCTGTCTCCAAATTCCTTGCCCAGCTTGGTTCTCAGTGAGTGCCGCTTCCTGATGGCCAGGGGTTGAGCCGGCACTGTGGGCAGCAGCCTGAATGAACAAGAATATCACAAGTCTCAGACCGTTGTCTAGCATGCCACCCTGCAGGCCAACCCAAACAAAGTTGGTAGGCCTCCAGATCGCAGATCAGTTCCACCACCTCATCAACCGTGGTCAGGCGGGCCGGGTGGCTGGCATAAAGTTTATGTTCCTGAGGCACCAACAGATCTTGCACTACCACGTGGAAAAAAAGGCCCGGGCGGATGTGAATGACTGCGGCAGACATGGTGGAATGTTTCGAGCGCTGGACGAGACGCAGGTCTGGGCTGCCAAGCAGAGGCAGCACCTCCCAATGAGCAGGGAGAGGGATCTCATTCAGCTCAGCCAAGAATTCTCGCAAGACACTGTCCAACTGAGAGAGGGGCTGCACACCACCCAGGCTGTAGACCTCCATAATCTAGAGAAAGAGACAAAAAAAGAGAGACCAATTTAGAATCCTTTAGTACAGGTAGTCCTCGACGTATGACCACAATTGAGCCCAAAGTTTCTGTTGCTAAGTGAGACATTCGTTAAGTGAGTTTTGTCCTGTTTAACAGCAGTTAAGTTAGTAACATGGTTAAGTGAATCTGACTTCTTCATTAATTTTGCCTGCCAAAAGGCAATTACATGGCACCTGAGACATTGTAACCTATAACTATGAGTCAGTTGCCAAACATTTTGATTACATGATTATGGAGATGCTGTGATGGTTTTTAAGTGTGAAAAATAGTGATAAGTCATATTTTTCAATGTTGTTATAACTTCAAACGGTCACGAAATGAACTGTTGTAAGTCAAAAATTACCTGTTTCTAAAATACCTTTAGATAAGCAGCCATTTCCCCCAGTTTGGATTAAATAGGGCACAAGGCCCTCTGTTTCAAAGCCATTCCTTGCCATGACTCAAGGTGTCAACTAATGTAGCAGTTCAGCCTCAGATATATATAAGCTACAATTAATCTTGGGTCTGAGATAAACTAATTTAAGAATGCGGTTCATCTGTCCCAGAAAATCATGTTTTACGTATTCTGAAAACACTTGCACTAAAGAACCAGTTTTGCCCTCTGGGGATTCATCCTGCCTCAGTTTGGCTTCTGGGCATTCACATGGCAGGAAATGCCAGCTATAACTCCATCTTGATCGAGCGAGTCAAGGCCCTGGTAACCTCCACAATAGATCACTACAAGGCACCACATCAGACACATTGTTTGAAAACTGCTCCAAATCTAGCACAGGTAGTCCTTGGTTAACAATGGTAATTGGGACCAGTAACTCCACTGCTAAGTGGCACCATCATATAAAGCATGATATCCCATGACCGGCTCAACTTACAGTGACAGTTAGGGCAATTTCTGGTGTCCTCATTAGATGAATTCTATGTGAACCCAGCATCCCATAATCACATGATCCATTTGAGACCTCCAGTTCATTTCCCTATTTACTTTGCTTGCTGGAAGCCAGTAGTGGTTGCCTAGAGCAATGTTCACTCAAATGGTGAGCCTCAAATGGCAAAACTAATGCCAACAAGGTTCAATTGATTTGACTGAGAAGTAAAGAGCTCACAGAAGAAGCTAATATTTTGAGAACTTACCTGTGACAAACTCATCATCAAATAAAAATCGATGGACGGTTTTGTTTAAAGAAAACTGTAGGTACAGGTAATCTTTGACTTACAACCACAATTGGGGCCACAATTTCCATTGTAGGTCAGTGTGGTCATAAAGTGAATCTAGCTTCCCCAAGTGACTTGCCAAAAACCAGCTGGGAAGGTCACAAATTGTGGTCATGTGACCCACAAGACCATCGCAAAGAAAAGCCAGTTGCAAAGTGTCTGGATTGCAATCACATGGTTGTGGGGGTGGTAGGACAGTCCGTAAGTTACTTTTTCCAAGACTATCAATAACTTAGAGCTGTCATTAAACAAACAACCGTTAAGTCAACTGGACTAGAAGACCTCCAAGGTCCCTTCCAACTCTTATTATTCTGTATTCAAGGATTACCTGTAATTTAAATCCTCCTCTAGCTTGGACAGATTCGTAGAAAACAGAGAATTATTTTCCATGACAAATTTCTTTTGTATTTAAAGAAGAACTAGTCAAAAAATATATATGAGGGAACAGTTGATGTAGCTTAAGAGAACCTCTGTCTGTGAGCTGGGGTCAGGAAGAAATGCTCCCCCAAAAGGTTTTAGCATATTTTATCGCTATAAGTGTGTCTTCACATTGAGACACTAATTGCTTTTTGATCAATCCATGGCAGTCAGCAAAATATGTGAGTGAATTAAAAGATATCCATTGCATTGTCCGACAGAAATACTGAAGACCTCCTCTATAAAGGTAGAGCCTTTGGGCTGACACTAGCCAACCTTGAGATGAGCTAGGTAACAGATTCAGATTGTGCCTAAGCAGGAATCAAATTAAAAAAAAAAACACCTGGGCAAGAGAAAGGTTAATCACTCATTAAGATGTAACCAGATTATAATTCTGGTTACACTCAAAAGAGTTAATAAAGGACATAGTTCTAGAAGGACAATTGCATATTCACTGAATCAACTTTTCCATGAACATTTTGACCACTGTGGCCTGATTCTAGTGGTGTGTTTGCCAAGCTCAACAAGAAAGAAGAGAATTTTGTTAATAACTAATCATAGTTACTTACCCAGCAACTCCACTACTGCTGTTAAAAGTTGAAAACAGATTCATTTGCCTTTCAGATTTATTGTTTGCCTTTCAAATTTTTCTAATATGGTGTTCAGGAAAAGGAAACTCAGCTATTAACTAGTGACAAAATGGGCATAATGCTATCCAACAATGTTTCAAATCCTTCCCTCAAAACAATTCCTTCAAATCTTTTACAATAATGACTGTATCTGAGTCCTTGTCACGGTAAAACTTAAGTAAATGTGCGGTGCCTTCTCTATTGAAAGAAGCAGCAAAGGCGTTAAAAGCTCAGTCCCCAGGCTGATGAAGTAGGGACGGCTCCAAAACAGAAGGAAATGGAAGACAAAGTGTTTACAGCTAGTGAGGAATTTTTACCCGTTTTAAAAGAGCCTGCCTATAAAAAACTTAAAGCTAATTTAAATGTAAGAATAAAAGAAATAAGCGGCGGAATTAAGCTTTGGATGGTTTTGATCAGTGTGTTATCTTAATTTTTAAATGTTATTTTCAGGGATTGAATTTATGCAAACCGTTTGAAATGAATGGATCAAGTTTTCTTCTTCTAAAATTTTTACTATTATTTTCACAACCTACGGACTAAACTTCTCCTTATTCGTCACTACATGTGTCTTTTACTCTTTCTTCTCTATTTCATGTAAGAATTTGAGTTTTTTTAAAAAAACTTGAAATATTAAAAGATACAAAAAAACAAAGAATTCCAACAATTGTAACAACAAAGGGAGAGATAACTGCTACTCGAAGACTGGAGACTTGAGTATTGAAAACAAAATACTTTTACTTTCACTACTGATTATCCTGGTCTGGAACTTTAAAGTCTCACAGTTTATTTATAGAAAGTGATAAGAAGTA